TCAGGGCACTCCCTGTGGAGATGAGTAATTCTACATGGCTGTTAAGAACATCCCTCTCTTTAAAGTAAGGATGTGTTGAAGACTCACTGACCTGAATCCTAAATAAAGCCTTCTGCAGAACAGTGACTGGAAGACAAGTGAAGTTCTACTCTCTTCTGTCATTTAGTCAAGTGTTTATTGAGCTGCTGCTTTGTGTAGATACCACTAAGCTGTACAATTACTTGTGCATGATATACTCAACAAATTAGTGTATAAATGAGTAAAGGAGTGATGCCACCTTTGCATTCATTTACTGAGCGCTTACTGTATACTAGACATAAAATATTCTAAGTGCTAAGAATATAATGGAGAGCAATACAGAAATCATCCCTGCTGCTTTGAAGCATGTAAGTGAGACATTGCAACAAAAATATATTAATATACAATTACAAATTGGGTTTGTGAAGAAAACTAACAACTGCTGTGATACATTGTAGGAGTGGGATCAGTTTAGATTGTGTGTTTTTGAGGGGACTTTCAGTCTAAGAACTGAATGATGTGTAGGAATTAGCCAGGTCAGAATTGGAGCATTGCAAGTGGGGAAGGCAAAATCATGAAGTTTCTCAGTTTGGGAGTGGGAGAGTTGGAAGTGGGTTGGCATCCTTGGGGATCTGAAGTAAAGCCAGTGTGGCTGGAACATAGAGAGGGAGGAGTAGAGTTGCACAAAATGAAGTGGAGTGGTTGACAGGGCTTCCAGAAGATGACTGTAATACAGGTTCCAAACCTCTCAAGTTTCATTACTCTTAATTTAGGGAATAAAATGGAAATTGATTTGTGGCTTGGAAAAAGTGAAAAGATACTGGTGAATTAGGAATAATTGGTTAATCTATACTCCATGGAAGTTGGTATTGTATTGTGAAAAGAATGTGGGCCTTGGAATCAGAACTAAGTTCATCCCATCATTGCTTCTTTTTAAATGATGTGTGACCTTGGACAAGTTACTAAGCCTCCCTGAGCTTCTGTTCTTTCATTTGTAAAATGGAGAAGATAATAGTGCCCCTTTATTGTTAAAATGAAACTAAATACGTAAAATACTTAGCAGAAGGCCTAGCTCATACTAAGTGGTCAGTAAACTACATGGTGCTGTTACTCTTATTACTATTTCTCTTCTTCCTTCTCAAGGCAGATAGACAACTGCCAGATTGTTCATAAAAATATTAGCTAGGTGAACATGATGAACATAACAAAAGCATGCACAAACTGACATGCCTGTAATGACTTTAGACTATTTTATGAGTAGTCCTCAGTGAAACGGTGGGAGTATTTCAGCCTGTCCCATGATCGTTGAAAAAGCAGATTTTTTTTAATTGCAAACATCAGTTGAACTATATGTACTTTGGGAAAACTTTGCATTTCAAATGAAGCATTGTAAAGCAAAATTCACTATGAAAAGCCATAGTATTATAAAACACACTATAGGCTTTTCAGAGGGAATCATGCAATTGTAATAAAATAGACCCCCTGAAGATGCTCACATGCCGTGTTAAAGACATAGGGTTTTCTTATTTCACGTACAATTATCTAGTTACATTTAGCACAAGTAAGATAAACCATTTGGGATAAACTGTCATGTAGGTGTCTGTGGTTGACTCTGTTATTAATATGGAAATACAGTAAGACTCTAACATAATAAAAAATTGGTTTCCAAAAATTTTAGTCAAATTAATGGAGGATAATGAAATAACTCCTGGCTAGCCAGTTAGGAGTTCCTAGGGTGTAGAAACCAATTACCAATTGTCTTCAGGTTATTCATGTTATTGGAGGATATATTTGAATGCTAATAACATGTCGAAGAATTTTGATAATGACAGTGAAGATTTTTTTTGGAAAGAGAAAATCATTTGGGAAAACATTTTGGCCTTTGATTTAGATATTTGTAGGAATATGCAATATGCAATGGCTAAATTAATTTGACTATGATCCTTAAGAAGAGATACATTTTACTTTGTGAATGCTGTATATACACATATAGGAAACTAAAACGAAAGTTTTATGAAACAATATTTCAATATTTTCTGTTATATTTTATTTCAATTTTTGGAAAATGCTGTAGTTTACTAAACTAATTTTATAACATACTGGTTTACAACTTGCACTTTGAAAAACATTGCACTAAATGACTGTGTATTAAGATGCTTCAGAAAGGAATACCAGGTTACTCTAGAACCATAGATCAGCACTATTTCACTATTAGCATATCCCATATCACTAGTAATAGATGAGTAGTAGGTGCCAGTCCCAGTTGGCTGCCTGGGATGGTCTTTAAAAAAGGATTCATACACACACACGTCTGTGATGTATATATTCACGCACATACGTACTTGCTTATGCGCAGGACAGATACATAAGAAATGATAACATGGATTGCCCAAAGAAAGGAGAACTAGGTATCTGGGCAAGAGTGATAAGACAGTTTAAGTGCAGTATACCCTTTTATTTTTCATTCTTGTTAAATTTGAATCGTGTGGACATATTTATTCTAAACATTAATAAATTCTGCTTCTACATTATTAGAGAAAGAAAACAGCAGGGTGACTAGTATAGATCAGAGTTTTACAGTAAAGATTACTGTGTGGGCCAGGCACAATGGCTCACGTCTATAATCCCACCACTTTGGGAGGCTGAGGCAGGTGGATCACTTGAAGTCAGGAGTTCAAGACCACCCTGGCCAACATGGTGAAACTGTCTCTACTAAAAATACAAAAATTAGCCTGGTGTGGTGGTGAGTACTGTAATCTCAGCTACTCAGGAGGCTGAGACAGGAGAATCACTTGAACCCGGGAGGTAGAGGTTGCAGTGAGCCGAGATCGTGCCATTTGCACTCCAGCCTGGACTCCCCACTCCTATGCTGGACTCTGCTAATCTACACAGTAATCAGAGTCTCATAAAAAAAGATTACTGTGTAGATTAGCAGAGTCCAGCATAGGAGTGGGGAGTTACCCTGCATGCTGTTTACTGTCCCGATCTAGACCAGCTATATTGACAGTACTATGCAATGATGTTTAGGTGACTCATTAAAAAGGGTTACTTTGTGTTTTGTGCTCTGCTTATTTATCATAGTGAGGGGATATACTATATTCTAGAAAGCTTTTTTCCAATAGAATATGGTTAATTTTAATGTTTCAGTGCTTTTCATTTTTAATTTCTAAATTTGTTATTTAGAAGTAATTTCAAACTTACAGAAAAGTTGTATGAATAAGTTCAAGTAGTACCTGTTTCCATATCACCTTTTGTCAACATTTTACCCCATTTGTCTTCTCATGTGCTCTACCTACCTGATTTTTTTTCCCTGATCCATTTGAGAGAAATTTATAAGTACTATGCCCCTTTCTTCCTAACTACTAAAGAGTATATTTTCTAAAATTAGGGATAGCCTCTTACTTAACTACAGTACACATATCAGCTTCAATACATTTAATATTCATACCATATTTTATCTACTCTACTGCTAACTTTCCTTTTTTGTCAGTTGACCCAGGAATATGCTTTATAGCATTTTTTTCCTGCCTTCTGGCACAGGATTTGAACTAGCTTTAGGTATTGCATTTAGAAAATTGTCATCTCTTAAGCTTTTTTTTTTTTTTTTTTAGACGGTCTCTCTCTTGTTACCCAGGCTGGAGTGCAGTGGCACAATTTCGGCTCTCTGCAATCTCTCGCTCCTGGGTCCTGGGTTCAAGCAATTCTCCTGCCTCAGCCTCCTGAATAGCTGGGAATACAGGTGCGCACCGCCATGCCTGGTTAATTTTTGTATTTTTAGTAGACACAGGGTTTCACCATGTTGGCCAGGCCTGTCTCCAACTCCTGACCTCAGGTGATCTGCCCAACTTGGCCTCCCAAAGTGCTGAGATTACAGGTGTGAGCCACTGCACCCAGCCTCTTTAGCTTCTTTAGCTTTAGCTTGTTTTGATTGGCAACATTTCCACATCCTTTATTTCTTTTTTTCAATTCTGGCATTTTAAAAGAATATACCTTTTCCTTTTTAAAAATAGGATGTTGATTATTTTGATGTTTTATGATTAAATTCAAATTATGCATTCTCAGAATATTATATAGCTGATGTGTCTTTCTCAGGATATAAAATCTGGAGATACACAATGTCCATCTAACATTGGTGATGTTGGAGAGTACTTGGTGAAGGAGTTGCCTAGTTTCTACTGTATAATATTTCCCCCTTGCAACTAAAAAATAATCCATAGAAAGACATGTTAAAACCATACAAATATACTAATTCATAAAAATTTTCCCCTAGATTTAGCATCCATGATTGTCCTTGCCTGATCCAGTCTTTACTATGTTGGTTGCGGAATTCTGATTTTTCTGTTGCTAGCACTAACCTCTACATTTACCAGTCAACACTCAGCATTCTGCTCTGAGCAATAACCCTCATTTCTCCTCCTCTTGTTTTTTTTAATATAAACTCATAAATTACTCCTCATGGTTTGTAATTAATTACTGTATAAAGTAGAGGATTTGATTATGGGGTGTGTCAATGATGACATCAGGAGGTCAGTGATCACCTTGAATTGTGTGCAATCTTCTGTGTTCTGGGAGAGTGTTCCTAACTTTCATCAGAATCTCGAAAGGGTTCTGGACTCAAAAGTGGAAAACATGTTGAAGGGTTAGACTTTAAGCTATCTGTAATAGTTATAATATATTTTAATTTATTTGTATACTTTCTCCCCTCCTTTTTACCCTGAGTGATAAGTAACTGAAATGTTGGAACCATATTGTATGTTCTCTGTAGTACATTGCATTTTTGTCTTCTATTTTTAAACCACAACTTACAATAGTACTATATTTTGGTTCCTTTAAATTTTTTCCTAGAATGTATAATAAATGTTTAGATCTTCATTGCCACTGTAGTAACAGTTTATGGTGTATAGAACCAGTCTTGTGAAGCAGTGAATTACCTTGATTTGATTTAATTTGAAATTTTAAAACCAATGTTTTTTACACTATAGTTTTATTAGCTCTCTTGGAGTGAGCTACATGATGTTGTGCACTGAAAATTACCCAAATGTTCTCGCCTTCTCTTTCCTGGATGAGCTTCAGAAGGAGTTCATTACTACTTATAACATGATGAAGACAAATACTGCTGTCAGACCATACTGTTTCATTGAATTTGGTAAGGGCCTGATTTTTTTTCCTTTTTGTTCTGTCTCCATCCAGTCATAGGCAATTTTAAATCTAATATTGGGTGGAGAGGGGACTTCTGCTATCTTGCTTTTGATAGAATAATTTGGTAAATGATCTATAAATTATGGTAACTTTTTTCTTAGATGCTTATTAGAAAAAAATTGTGTTTGAGCTGTGAAGGGGATTGTGAGTATTGGTCCAAAGAACTAATGCCGGAGGATAACTTTTCTTTTTTTCCCTGAGACGGAGTTTCGCTCTTGTTACCCAGGCTGGAGTGCAATGGCGCTATCTAGGCTCACCGCAACCTCTTGCCTCCTGGGTTCAGGCAATTCTCCTGCCTCAGCCTCCCGGGTAGCTGGGAATACAGGCACGCGCCACCATGCCCAGCTAATTTTTTGTATTTTTAGTAGAGACGGGGTTTCACCATGTTGACCAGGATGGTCTCGATCTCTTGAGCTTGTGATCCACTCGCCACGGCCTCCCAAAGTGCTGGGATTCCAGGCTTGAGCCACCGCGCCCGGCCAGGATAACTTTTCAATGAGAAATTTATAAGCCAGAGATTCAGACTTTTGTGTTTATGTAATCTTTTATAGTCTGCTTCATATAGAACAGGGGATGGCAAACATTTGCTGGAAAGGACCAGATAGTACATATTTTAGGCTTTAAGGACCATATAGTCGCTGTCACGACTATTCATCCCTGCCATTGTAGCTCAAAAGCAGCCATAGGCAGTACATAAATGAATGCGGTTATATTCTAATAAAACTTTACAGAATAGTCAGCAGGCTACATTTGGCCTGTGGGCAGTTGTTTGCTCAACTTCTGTTGTAGAAGGACAGAAAAAAAAATGTTGTAAATAGTAAAACTAAAATTTCACTTGGAAAATACTTAGAAAATGTCATATTACTTTCATTCAATTTATTTTTTAAAACATACATTCTAATGGTGTAAGCAATAAAAAGATTTATAAAAACGTGCAACATCTAGTGTGTGTTCTTATGAAATTGCAGCTGGTAAATCTGACAGATTTAATATTTCACGTGATAGGACTCTCTATGAAAAAACAAGATTTGGCACAGGGTGTGGTGGCTCATGCCTGTTATCCCATCACTTTGGGAGACTGAGGCAGTAGGATCACTTGAGGCCAGGAGTTTAAGAACACCCTGGACAACATAAAGAGACCCTGTCTATACAAAAAAAAAAAAAAAAAAAAAAAGGGCCGGGCATGGTGGCTCACACCTGTAGCCCTAGCTACTTGGGATGCTGAGGCAGGAGGATCAGTTGAGCAAGCACAGGAATTCAAGATTACTGTGAGCTATGATTGTAACACTGCACCCTGGTGACAGAGCAAGACCCTGTCTCAAAAAAAAAAAGAGACTGTGGTTTAAAGCTAAAGCTGTTTCTTGTTTTTATAATTCCTTGAAGTGGATGTAATACACTTAGGTAGGGTTAAATTCTTAGTTTATTTTCAATTACTGATTTCTAGAGTGTAAAACTGATTACTCTATAATGTATTAATCATTAAACACGTTTGGAATATTTTATGACAAATTGAACAATTTTGAATAATAAACTATAATATTTATTAGCCATAAACACCATGTTCTGAAATGATTAATTGACAAGTAACTGCAAGGAAATTTATTTTTTTATTTTATATAGATAACTTCATTCAGAGGACCAAGCAGCGATATAATAATCCCAGGTCTCTTTCAACAAAGATAAATCTTTCTGATATGCAGATGGAAATCAAGCTGAGGCCCCCTTATCAAATTTCCATGTACGAACTGGGGTCAGCCAATGGAGTCACATCAGCATTTTCTGTTGACTGTAAAGGTGCTGGTAAGATTTCTTCTGGTGAGTTCTGGATCTCCATTGTTTTTTAAAAAAATCATTGGGAAGAACTGAGAAACTCTTCAAAATGAATTACTTTATTCTAATATTTTAAATCGAGTACATGAGACAATATAGAAGTTCAAAGCAATCCTTTCTCTCAGTGGTTTATAAAGTAAGCTACCAGATATGTGACTAATCAGGAAAATACTTTCAAACAGCAACCTCAGAGGATCTCTTTGCTAGAAAAACATTTTTTTTATTTCAAAATTTTTTTAAATTAATTTTCATGGGTACATAGTGTGTAATATATAGGGTATGTGAGATATTTTGATACAGGGATGTAGTGCATAACAATCATTAGAGTAAATGGGGTATTCATCACCTCAAGTTTTGTTTCTTTGTATTATAAATGTCAATTGTACTCTTATTTTAAAATCTACAATAAATTGTTGTTGACTGTACTTACCCTATTGTGCTATGAAGTACTAAATCTTATGCATTCTCCTAACCATTATTTTCTTTCCATTAACCATCCCTCTTTCTCCCACCCTCACTACCCTTCCCATCCTCCAGTAACCAACATTCTACTATCTCCATGAATTCAGTTGTTTTAAATTTTAGCTCCCACAAATGAGTGAGGTTGTGTAAAATTTTCCTTTCTGTGCCTAGCTTATTTCACTTAATAAAATGTCCTCCAGTTCCATCCATGCTGTTGCAAGTGACAGGATCTCATTCTTTTTTTATGTTGAATAATACTTTATTGTGTATGTGTACCACATTTTGTTTATTCATTTGTCTGATGATGGGCACTTAGGTTGCTTCCAAGTCTTACCTGTTGTTAATAGTGCTGCAGTAAACATGAGAATGCAGATATCTCTTTGATAGGCTGATTTCATTTCTTTTGGATATATACCTAGCAGTGGGATTGCTGGTAGCAGTGGGATTGCTGGATTATATGATAGTTCTTTTCTTTTTCTTTTTCTTTTTTTTTTTTTGAGACGGTGTTTGACTTTGTTGTCCAGGCTGGAGTGCAATGGCATGATCTCAGCTCACTGCAACCTCCGCCTCCCTGATTCAAGCAATTCTCCTGCCTCAGCCTCGTGAGTAGCTGGGACTACAGGCGCACGTTACCATGCCCGCCTAATTTTTTTGTATTTTTAAATGAGACAGGGTTTCACTGTGTTAGCCAGGATGATCTGATCTCCTGACCTCGTGATCTGCCCACCTCAGCCTCCCAAAGTGCTGGGATTACAGGTGTGAGCCACTGTGCCCAGCCTCTTTTTAGTTTTTGAGGAACCTCAAAACTACTACTGTTTCACAGTGGTTGTACTAATTTACATCCCCACCAACAGTGTTTCCTTTTCTCCACAACCTCACAGCATTCATTATTGCCTGTCTTTTGGATAAAATCCATTTTAACTGGGATGAGATGATGTCTCGTTGTAGTTTTCATTTGCATATCTCTGATGACCAGTGATGTTGAGCATCTTTTCATCTACCTGTTTACCATTTGTATGTCTGTTTTGAAAAATGTGTGTTCAGATCTTTTGCCCATTTTTTAATTGACTTAATAGATTTTTTTTTTTCATATACAGTTGTTTGAGCTCCTTATATATTCTGGTTATTAATTCCTTGTCAGGTGGATATAGGGATTCACATCCCTTGTCAGTTTGTGAATATTTTCTGTCATCCTGTGGGTTGTCTCTTCACTTTGTTTCCTTTGCTATGCAGAAGCTTTTTAACTTAATATAATGCAATTTGTCCACTTTTGCCTTGGTTGCCTGTGCTTGTGAGGTATTACTCAAGAGATCTTTGCCCAGATCAGTGTCCTGCAGAGTTTCCCCAATGTTTTCTTTTAGTAGCTTCATAGTTTGAGGTCTTAGATTTAAGTCTAATTTATTTTGATTTGATCTTTGTATATGGCTAGGAAAACATTTAAGGTTTTTTTGTGAACATTTTTCTAGAAATGAAAAATAGGTTCTTTGTGCTGCATATTTATAGGCAGGTAAAGTGCTTTGCATTATGTTAAAATGGCTACATTCAAGGCCAGGGTTCTTGACTGTCATAGAAGGTGTAAAGACTTGACTGCTCAAATCTCCCATCCCAAAGAAGGAATACGATCTTCAACAATTGTGAAAGGATATAAACTTTTGCTAAAATGAACACCTCATTATCTTATAAGGTAGCATATGCCATTGTCAGACTATTTGCTTAAAAAATTATTCCAACCTAAGGCTTTAGGGAAAAAAAAAATCTTCCTTATATAATTGAGCTAAAGTCAGCTTCCCTATGTCTACCGGTTTGTTCTGTGATCTCTTTCTCCCTTCCTTCAGCAGAACCAGAATAACAGTTAAGTCAGCAACTGTGTGTTCTTTCCATCCTCTTAGTCTAGTTTACTTCATATAAATATCTCCAGCTCACTAATGAGAACACATGGACACAGGGAGGGGAACATCATATCAGGGCTTGTTGCAGGGTGGGGGGCTAGGGGAGGGATAGCATTAGGAGAAATACCTGATGTAGATGACGGTTTGATGGGTGCAGCAAACCACCATGACAAGTGTATACCTATGTAACAAACCTGCATGTTCTGCACATGTATCTCAGAACTTAAGGGGCGTGTGTGTGTGTATTATATATATATATTTTATATATTGTATATATTTTATATATATATTTTATACATGCCAACATATGTGTGACAGGATACTGAAGAAGAAGGGAGAAAAAAAGGAGCAGAGAAAATATTTGAGGAAATAATGGCTGAAAAGTTACCAGATTTATGGAAGTTCCCACTAATCTGCTCTTCCAGGAAGCTCAGTGAACTCCAAATAGATTACACAAAACAGATCCACAAATAGATGAATCATAGTAAAATGCCGAAAGTCAAAGACAAGGAGAAAATCTTGAAATCAGCAAGAGAAAAAGAACTTGTCACTTACATGAGTTTACCTGCATAACAAAGCTGCACATCTACTCCCGAACCTAAAATAAAAATTAAAAAAATAAAAAACATTACTTACAGTGAACCTCAATAAGATTAACAGCTGACTTCTTAGCAGAAGCAATAGAGACTAGAAGGCAGTAGAAAAACTATACAAAGTTCTGAAAGAAAAAGAATAAAAACTATTAACCAATAATCTTATATCCTACAAAATTATCTTTTTAAAAAAAGGCAAAAGAAAGACATTTACAGATAAATGAAAGATAAAATAATCTGTTGCTAGCAGACATAGCAAATAGTAAAGGAAATTATTTAGGCTGAAAACAAGTGAACCTATAAAATAAGTTGAATCCATATGAAAAAAAGCAAAGGACAAGGTAAAGGTAATTAAGTAATTAAAAAAGACAATTAAGGTCAGGTGTAGTAGCTCATGCTTGTAATCCTAATACTTTGGGAGGCCAACCTGGGAAGATCCCATGAACCTAGGAGTTTGAAGTTGCAGTGATCTAGGCTGCCCTCCAGCTTGGGCAATACAGCAAGACTCTGACTCTTAAGAAAAAGACAGTAAAAATACATTAATGCATTTTTTTTTCCTGCTCTCTAGTCTTAACTGATTTAAAAAGTGTTCATATAAAGCGGTGCATATATAATGTCATTTTAGGCCTTTAACAAATAGGCCCACATATATTTTCCCATAACAGCAAAAAGGAAATGTAATATATTTTCCCATAACAGCAAAAAGGACATGGGTGGTGGTGAAATTGTAGTGGGCTAAGGAAATTACTCCAGATGGTAATTCAAATCAACAGGAACAAATGAAGTGAGCCAGAAAGATAAGATAAATATTAAGAGCTATGAACATAATTACTATCCTTTCTTTTCTTAGCATTTTTTTTTTTTTTTTTTTTTTTTTTGCGCGGCGGAGTTTCGCTTTTGTTACCCAGGCTGGAGTGCAATGGCGCGATCTCGGCTCACCGCAACCTCCGTCTCCTGGGTTCAGGCAATTCTCCTGCCTCAGCCTCCTGAGTAGCCGGGATTACAGGCACACACCACCATGCCTAGCTAATTTTTTGTGTTTTTAGTAGAGATGGGGTTTCACCATGTTGACCAGGATGGTCTTGATCTCTTGACCTCGTGATCCACCTGCCTCGGCCTCCCAAAGTGCTGGGATTACAGGCGTGAGCCACCTTGCCCGGCCCTCTTAGCATTTTTAGAAGACATAAAATTACATAAAGTCATAATTTATAACAATGTATTTTGGAGTTTGTGATGTTTATTGATATGTATAACAGCAATACCACAAAAAGATAAAGGGAATAGAGCTATATGGAGTAATGTTTCTGTGGCTCACTAGAATTTAGTAGAAATCTGATGCTGTTACTTACAGTTAAGATGTATATGGTAAGCTTAGAGCAACCACAAAGCAAATAACTCAAAAAGCAGTAAAAATGATTAAGTGAAATTCTGCACTACCAAATATTCACTTAATGCAAATGAAAGAAATGAAAAAAAGTAAAGGAGGGATAGAGCGAAAAAAGGCATGAAATGTATAAGAAAAAAGAAAAATGGCAGATGTAAATCTATACCAATAATATATGTGAATGGATTTAAAAAGTATTAATATATTAAATAATCCAGTCAAAAGACAGCAATTGTAAGATTGGATTAAAAATACAAAAGCAAGATGCAGCTATATGCCGTCTTCAGGAGACACACCTTAGATTCAAAGATACAAATAGATTGAAAGTCAAAGGATAAAAAAAGATACATGAATTGCAAAGGAGAGCTGGAGTAGCAATACTAATATCAGACAAAATGGACTTAATGACAAACATTGGTATGAGAGGTACAGCATGACATTTTATAATGATAAAAGGGTGAATAAGTTAAGATAGAGTTATAAACATATATGCATTTAACAACAGAGCCTCAAAGTACATTAAGTAAAACATGCTAGAAATGAATAGAGAAATAGACATTTGAATAATAAAGTTAGAGACTTTAATACACAACTTTCAATAATGGAAAGAACAATTAGGTAGAAGATGAGAAAATAGAAGACTTGAACACCTGCACC